CAGTGGAAGGAGCTGAGAGAAGGAAATGCAAGGCATGAAGGGATAAATAGGAGGGAAATTTTATATATAAAATTATATATATACACACACAATTTTATAGATATGTGTACACACACACACACACACACACACACACACACACACACACACACACACACACACACAAAGACGAGGCTGCTGGACACACTGGCAAGACCCAGTAAGTATCGTCCTTGGGAGCTGTAAATATGTTGTCCTAACCAGCATCTGCTTAAGATGCCAGAGACAAAGCTGCTAGAGAGAGTTCCCTCTCTCAGTGGGGCAGGCAAGAGGCTTGCTGGCTTCAGGACATTCATCCGTCCTGGGTTACAGGTGGATCCCTAGAGTTTGCTTGTCTCAGCCATCATGTGAGGTGGCTGGAGTGTTTCTTAGGGGGCAAGAAGTGACGAGAGCCTGCAGGAACCAAAGCTGTTGTCCACCAGGACTTACAGTTCTCTGTCTTCTGAGCACAAGGTAGGTGTGTGTTGTGAGCTGGGCCAAGGATTCTTGAGAACATAGATGCTGTGTGTCTTCTCCAGACCAAAATGTTGGGGTGCTGGTGCGAGACCTCAGGAACTGTGTTCCCTCTGACAAATGCTGTCCTGTCCACAGGAGTTCCTGAAGGAGTCAGATAAACCCTGCAAACACACCCTGGTAAACATGAAGCTGGAGTCAGAAATTCTGTGGATGCTTATTCTGCAGCACAGGCTAGCCCATTCCCAACGTGCATGCACTCTGTTCTAACCTGAGCCCTGGCTATAACCGAATTCCTAGAGGAAAAAGAAAGGAAGCCAGGTTTTCAACTACAAAATATCTTCTTTCCTTTAAAACGTTTAAGTTTATCTCTGTTTGTTTGGTGGGGGGGCGGGACATGCCACGGCACAGGCATGGGTGTCAGGGACAACTTGTGGAAGTCTCTTCCCTTCTTCCACGGTATGGGTTCCGGGGTGTGGACTGGTCCTCAGGCTTGGCGCAAGCACCTTTGCCTGCGGAGCCCTCTCCAGGATCCCCCTCTTTCCTTTTTTTAAAGTATACAGATTCAGTGGAATTAAACATATCCACAAAAGCTGCGCAACCATTACCACTGTATATCTCCAGAACTTTCTACGTCCTTAGTAAGGCAGAAACTTGGTACTCGTAAAACAATGACTTCCTTGCTGCCGCCCCCACCCAGCCCCTGGAGACCATGGCTCTGCCCTTTGTCTCTAAGAGTTTGAGGTGACTCATTCAGAATTTGTCCCTCTGTGTCTGACACAGTTCACTTAGCATTGTGTCTTCAGATGCACCCGAGTAGCATGTATCAGACGTCACTCCTTTTAGAGGCTGGCTGGTATTCTGTGGTGTGTACGCGTTACGCTTTGTTCATCCTGTTATCTGTTGATGAACACTTGGTAACTTCCGGGCTGCAGTCAAGAACGGTGCTCTAGAGCACGGGCGGGCAAGCACTGGAGTCTCTGCTTCCAGTTCTTTTGTGTGTCTAGCTGGACTTAGACTTGCCGGGTCACATGACCATCCTGTGTTTGCTGGGGGTCCAGCAGAATGCTGTTCCCCCTGAGGCACACGGGGTTCTGACATGTCTGCATGCACCCAGCACTTGTCTGTCAGCTTGTTACGTTTGTCTGGCTGCTTTAAATACCACCCGTGCTGCTGCTGCTGCGGAGGCAAATGGTGTTTGGCCCCAGTTTCTCCTCAGCTGTTTGGTTTGGTTTTTGGTTGGTTGGTTGGTTGGTTGGTTGGTTGTTTGGTCTTTTCTTTGCCAAGTGCATATGAAGCCATAGTTGCCACTGTCCCCACAGTTCCCCACCATCCCCATGGCTAATTCACTTTCACTCTACTATAAAAGAGGTAGAGTTGGCCAGGCGGCACTTGGGAGGCAGAGACAGGCGAATCTCTGTGAGTTCGAGGCCAACCAGGTCTACAGAGTGAGTTCCAAGACAGGCTCCAAAGCTACACAAAGAAACCCTGTCTCAAAAATCCAAGGGAAAAAAAAAAGCAGAGTTGTTACATTGTGGCACAGAGGATTTGGTCTCTTCCCCAGGTCCTTCATGGACCGCCTGACCCTTTCCCGGAGCCCCTCCTTATGACCCCTCTTCCAGCCAAAGCACTCATTTATACTAGCAAGAGCAAGACCTCCCAGGAGCACTTGCCAGGTATGCATAGGGATGAGTCCTCACAAAGGACTACATCACCAATGACACAAGACCAGAGTTCAGTACCAAAAGTGTTTGAGGGAAGCACCCCTAAAACCGAGCACAGTAACATCTCACAAAAGGACGCCTCACCCTCAGCTACGTTCCAAGTCGTGGGTGCCTGCCTCTAACATTGTTGTCTGGGTGCTGGGTTTGAAGTGGGCACTCCTCTTTAAATGGTACAATCACAAAGCTCCTAGAGAACCCATAAAGCCTCAAACATAAAGCCTAGGCCTTCAGTAGGACTGACATTGGCCCTAATGTCCAGCGGTATTCGTGGCACTGCAGGGGTAAGGTGGGGGACATCTGCCCAGCCGTGCCCTGCCACACCACCTCCATCTTCAGAGAAGGCATCTGGTAGCTCTGAGTGACAGCCAGAGGCACCACAGCTCTTCAGCAGTGCCCCCGGGACATGGGTGAGGGAGCAGCTGTTTCCTGTGCTCATTAGGGGTTCAGGATGCAGATCTGTGGCTGATGAAAAGGGGGTGGCAGGAAGTGTAGCATCCAGCTCTATAACTCTGCTGGATCTTGTTGCTGGTTGTTTTTTTACTCTTTTGACTCTTTTGGGGGGCCCGCCACCCAGATCCCAAATAAGTCACACATGGAGACTGATTCTTAATTATAAATGCCTGGCCTTAGCTTGGCTTATTTCTAGCCAGCTTTTCTTAACTTTAAATTGTCCTGTCTACCTTTTGCCTCTGGGCTGTTTCCTTTTCTTACTTCTGAATTCTTACTTTCACTCTTACTCCGTGGATGGCTGTGTGGCTAGGTGGCTGGTCCCTTCTTCTCTCACTCCTTGATCTTTCTTCTTCTCCTTCCAGATTTCTCCTTCTATTTATTCTCTCTGCCTACCAGGCCTGCCTATCCTTTCTCCGGCCTTGCTATTGGCTGTTCAGCTCTTTATTAGACCAATCAGGTGTTTTAGACAGGCAAAGTAGCACAACTTCACAGAGTTAAACAAATGCAACATAAAAAGATGCAGCACATCTTTACATCATGAAACAAATGTTCCAGAGCATAAACAAATGTAACACATCTTAAAATAATATTCTACAACAGGACCTTCCTAGGAGGTGGCTGTAGCTGGAGAGTATACTGGTGGCTCCTCGGGGCACGTATGGGACTCGGGCTCCCTCCATCCTCTGCCTGCCCCACCTCCTCCTCCCGCTTGGCTGAAGCAGAAACTAGATGATCTTGTCAGAGAGGAGGCCGCCTCCTGAAGGCCCTTCTGTCCTTGTCCCCAGCCCACAGGCCTCACTGTTGACTCTTCATGAGGGCAAATTTTCTAAGAGTCAGCTGCCAATGTCACAATGTCTGCATAGATGAGCCCTGGTCCCCAGAGACCAGCCATTAGCCAGCTTGCCCAAGTGTCTGATGTGTAGCTTGGAATTCTGGATGACTCCATTTCCCGGTGTGTGTGCTGGGGATGGGGGGAGCAGCGGGGGTGGGGTGGGTAACTCACTTTAGGATGAGTACCAAGTGTTACTTCCCAAAGTAGACTTTGTCCCAAAGGCCACCCATGGAGCTGCCAAGAGTTCAGAAATGCTGTGCCCTGCTTCCCTGGGGGTCCTTCCACCCTCAGCTTGTAGCATGGGTTGTCTCCTACATAGTTGCCTGGAGATGGCAGCCAGGGGCATCAGAGTGCCTGCCAGGACCTTCCTGCAAGAGTTCATTGAGCACTGCCCAGGAAATCCAAGGCCTGTGAAAATTCGACTCTGAACTCAAGGCTGAGCAGGAAGAGGAGATGCCGTGGGAAGCACACTATACTTTGTCAGTCAGAGAATGCCTCAGCACAGGGCACCAGGGGAATGGAAAGGTGCCACCAATCTTCCATCTCAGAGGACATTTCCTCTGGAAACTTGGAACAGAAACTGGAATTCAGAGCTAGAAGGATCTAGAACATCAACTGTCCAGTAGCTCCACTTTTGAGGAAGGAGGCTGAGCTCCTTGAAAGCCCTCTGACTGGCTCAAGGTCCTCCAGAGAGTGAAATACAAAGGGAGCTCCAAACTCTGGGGCAGTGTGTCACCCCTTAGATTGTGGGGACCAGCAGAGCCTGAGCCTTTGGAGAAGTCAGAATGGCTCTTGTCCCCAAGGCCCTGCCTTCCACTGGCTGGAAGTACATGGCTCCTCCCGGGCCTCTGAAGCCAGGACTGGATCACTTCAACAGGACACATGCTCATTCGGAGGCTGGGGCCCCTGCTTCCGTATCTACACCTGTCTCTACCCTTCAAGCTACCAGCAATTTCCTGTCACCCGGCTCTGGTCTATGGCAGGTCCTGCCTCCAGTTCTGAACTAGCTTCCAGGACCTTCTTGGAATCTGCCCTTCTCGGTACTAAGTCCTACCTTCCAGAAAAACAAAGATTTGGCTTTGGACGCCTGAGAAAGTCTGTTCCTTGGTAAGTTTCCCCCAACATTAGACTTTGCCTTCCTGTTCACCTCAGGGGATCATTTGACCTGTTTGGGGGATCCTTTCTCCCCACCAGCTTCCAGACTGCAGGCTGGGCATAGCCAGTGCTGAAATGGATTTGCCATGGATAAAGATGAGGAGGAGAACTCTAGTATTTTCCAAGCAAAGCCTTCTAGTTTGGGGTCCTGGGATTTGGCTGGTGGCTGTGCCGTTGAGGAAAGGAGAGGGACAGGGAGGCATGGAGATGAAGGGTCTGATGAGCTCAGTGCTGAAATGGTCAGCCACACTCCCAGCTGCACCACCACATCTCCAAGATGGATCACACGATTGAAAAGTGAGCAGGGAGACACTCTGCCTCCTCCTCATTTATTAGGACCTAGAGAAAATGAATCGGGTTTGAAGCTCTTGGGGGTCAGCACAGAGCTTCATTCCTTTTTAGCTGGGCAGTGGAAGGCCTGGGAAGGCTACCATCCTGTCCCCAAGCTGTTAACCAGCACACTGAGAGGCTGAGGGGGGGGGGGCGATGCACATTAGGGAATGAAGTTTGCTGTCTGAAGCCGCTGGCCACCGAGGTGAAAGAGCGGTGACAACTGATGATTTCTCAAGGGCGTTTTGTTTGCAGACGGCTTTCAAGTGATTTAGGCAGGTCGTTAGTGGATCGATACTTTCCTCAGGAGTCCCTGAAATCCACATCTGCTTAATAGCTGGACCCAGCAGCTCTGTCCAGAGAACCGTTGTGCCCAGTGGTGGATCCACCTTGCAGTGGTAGCTGTCATCTGATGACCCACTAGGTGCCATCATGTGTGTTTATAACTGCTAGTTTGCATCATACCCAGAGGTCTTAAAAATCTGGACGAGTGTCTTTAAATCGAACTGTCTGAATTGCCACATCCTCTTCCTTCATTCTCCAAGGCCTGTTTGCTCGTCTGTTAAATGAGATGGTGCTTCTCTCCCTAACTCCATAGGAACCTCGTTAAAATGAGAGACTGGTACTATTTGGTTTTGTTAATGGAGCTGTTTCCTTGCAAGACACCGGCGGATGGTGCTATTTCTGGTCGAGTAAGTGTGTGCTATTGGTGGGGGATTCCACCAGACTACTGATCGGGTTAGGACCACACAGAAGGTGTCCAGGGTCCAGAGCCATGCTGCCTGGCCCCGTTTCCCAGCTGGACCGCCACTGCCAATGAGCACTCTGCAGCCTGGGGTAAGCGAGTCACTGTGGTGCTTGAATCTGAAACGCCCACACAGGCTCATGTTCTGAGCTCTTGTTTCCCCGACGGCAGCACTACCTGAGGAGGCCGTGGAGCCTTCAGGAGATAGGGCCCAGGGACAGGCCTTCGAAGGTTCTCTTCTGCCAGGGTAAACTGATCAGATCTCCCGCCACGGTCGGTGGACCGAAAATACTGGAAACCAGGGACCAAACTAGGCCCTTCCACCCCTAAGTTGCCTCAGTGAGGTATTTTGGTGACGGTGACACACATGGGTAATGACTTAGCCAGCAGCCACTCTGGGCCTTCAGTTGTTCTAGAAAAGATGAAGGAGGTGACAGCGCCTGCCTGCTGAGTGGCCAGGGAGATTAATAGAGTCAGACACACAAGTACTCAGTGATTGCTGGTGCGCGCATGTGCGTGTGTGTGTGTGTGTGTGTGTGTGTGTGTGTGTGTGTGTGTAAGAGAGAGAGAATGTGCACATGGGTGATGTGTGAGAGCATCAGAAACCCCTGGAGCTGGAGTTGAAGGCCGTTGTGAGCCATCCAAACAAGGGGACTGGGGAACAAATTCTGGGCTTCTGCAAGACCTAACCACTGAGCTACTTCTCCATCCCCTTTAAATGCTGGCTGTTATCATTACCATCCTTTTATAAGCAGGGAATGGAAATGCGGCCGGAATTTCATAGGCCAAAGGTTGAGTTAAAGGGGTCATAAGCTGTATGGAGGGGCTGTGTAGTAGACATCGGGAAGGAGTTTCTGATATTATTGGATGTTAAACAGAGGCACGAGGAAGGAAAGGAGACAGACTATCTGGAGGTGGAATAAAGAGGTGTGCTGTAGTCGAGAAAAGCACTGGAATGGGGTCAGCAGACCCAAGTTCCCCTCCAGGCCTAGCCACTAGCTACCTTCAGGACCTGGCCAGGCACAAACTCCTGGGGAATCAGTCCCTTCAACCGTAAAGTAAGAAGGTTGACTCAAATGCATTCGTGTATAAAGGCAGGTTTTTTTTGACAAATGTCTATCAAGCACTCCTGTACCAGGCCCTGGGGACACATGAAAGGAAAGCAGCTGTCACTCATTTTGTGAGGAGGGCACAGACAGGAAGTATCCTAACAGAGAAGATAATCATCCATGGTGGCCAGAGCCCCCATGCACTGAAATGGAGGGCGGCGGCCAGAAGGTAGGTGGACCGTGAAGGCCTCTCTGAGGAAGCAGCCTTTGTACTGCTTCTGGGGTAGGTCAGATCTGTGGGAGAACATTCTAGGTGTAACTCTGGCTCGAGACAGAGGAGGAGAATGAAGGCCCAGGTGGCAGGTGGGCATAACGTGGCAGAGAGAAAAAGGAAGGTACAGAGAAGCGACGTGAAGAGCTGGTCACCCAGGGCTAGTGTTTGGGTTTCTGGCAGAAACTGTGAGACAGCTTAGAGGCAGCGTGAGCATGGAGTGTCTTCATCGGGGCTAGTCAGCGGTCTGTTGCTATGGCAGAAGAGCTGACGTAAGTCAATTTGAAGGAGGAGGGTTTATCTTGACTCACAATTTCAGTCCATGCTGCCCAGCTCCACTGTTCCAGGCTGCTCAGCTCCTGGTGGGATGATGGTGGGAACAAGGTTAATCTTCAAAAGAATACCTGGAGTACCACTTCCTCCCAGCAGGCCCCACCTCCCAGAGTTCTCAGCGCCTCTCAATGGTCCACTCAGTCAAGAACTCTGATGGATGCATCCGTGAACAGCTTTTAGCCTCCATAATCCAGTTGTTCTTCCCAAGGCTACTCCTGGGGTCAACGTAGCCCTGGGGACCCAGCTTTTAATAAGACTCTTTGGGGGACATCTACAGAGAGCCAGCTGCAGCAATCTGTTTTCACAGTGGACATACAGTCCAGCTGTGGGTGAAGACCAGCAGGACACAGCCAGATAGCCACTGCTGGAAGGGTACCATTGTCAGCTGGAGACTGCAGCCAGGACAGAGGCCCATGGGAACCAAGATGCTGTCCATGGAGAAGGCCCAGAGCATGGAAGCATCAGTCAGGAAGACCTAGTCAGCCCTCTTCTCTGACTCAACTCTTCAGCCCTTACTAGGCACAGTTAGACACAGCTTGCAGCACAGTTTACCAGCGCCACCAACGCCAGCTGTGGGTCACTGTGACTTGCTTGGGAGTCTTCAATTTCAGGACCTGCCCCAAGGGAGAAACCTCTCTCCCAAGTATCAGATGCAAAGTGAAACCCAGCAGAATCCTGGGAGGGTACATAAAGCATGGCATCTTGCCACATGCTGTTGGCTAAACAAAATCACATGGCCAAGTGTCAAGGGGCGATGCTCCATACTTTGCCCATGGGGAGCGCACAGAATGCCCCCCACAAACAACGAACCCCAGACTTAGCAGGGTGCGGAGCCTAGCCGACCATGTCAGTCCCCATACCCAGCTAGTGGAGCCCAGGGTTGGGTGGGCAGTGAGTGGGAGGAGATGCTCACCGGCCTAGTGCTGTCCATAATTGTCTTTTCATCTTTCCCCAGCAGGACTGTGGATCAGAGGCTGCGTGAAGGCTGGGAACAGGACTCCCTGGGAGTGCCATGGCTCAGGCTTGCATTCATGTGCAGTTAATTCAGATGCTTACAGGAGACAGGCCAGGTATGCTAGGTACAGGAGAGCATCTGGGTTAGCTTCCCTCGAGGAAGAGGCTGATCACCTGAGCCCATCCTCTCTGTCCACAGCTTTTGGCCCAACCGCCAAGTTCTTGTGGACAAATCAGGGTCCCGTTCCCCCCCCCACCCCGCCCCTTCTTTGTTCTCTCTCTTCTGCTCCGGGCTTGGGTCTCTAGGGTCTCAGGGAAGGTCAAGTGCTGATTGCCTGCTTTGGTTTTCAGACATCAAAAAATGGTTCCCCGGGTGAACAATGGCCTGACCATCTGCGAGATGTTAACTGCATAATGGAATGTAACGCGAAGGGCTTTTAAAAACACGAAGAGAGATTTTATTGTAACTAATCGTGATGGATGGCGAGTGTGGTCACACTTGGGTCGTAAATCTTTGTGCCAAGCCTGGGACAAAAAAAAAGCCAACGAACTCCGGAGTTCAGAGAGCCTTGTCCTCAGCCATGAGCAAATCACATGGGAAAGGTCTTGGTACCTCATTTGCATCTGCGCCCTTCTTCGGTGAAGTCATTGGCTGCCTCTGCTTGAGTGATAGGCTGCCAGGGTGACATCCCTCTCACCTCATTTCCCAGGAGTGGGCTCCGAGGCTGACTGAAGGGGAAGGGGCTAGACAGAGCCAAGGAATCCCCCCTCACACACACACACTCTTCTCCCATTTAATTAGAGAGAAAAACCAGTCACAGATCAGGGCAGGCTCTCAATGGCAAAGTTCACGGGTAATAGCTGCTCCAACTAGCCACATTCATTGTTTTAGAACCTTCTGAGCACTTGTGAAGCTGGCCAAAGCACTTTCCTCATGAAGTTTGTTGATGAATCAGTTAAGGTTTCACAGTATTGCTGAGGGAGCAGGAAGGCCGGACAGAAGTCGGCAGCTTCTGCTACTCCAAGACCCTGGGAAAGACACCTGACCTCTGTGCCTTGGTTTTCTCCTCTGTGCCTTGGTTTCCTCCTCTGTGCCTTGGTCTTCTGCTAAGTGGGTGTAATAGCTACCAGTAAAATGGATTTGTGTGATGTCGTTTATATCTCAAAGCACTTGGTAGGATTTTTACTCAATTGGAATTTGAAAAACAGTTCAAACAATATACCAGACACCAATTTTTTTTTTTTTTTTTCTGGAGAGACAACAGCAAGAAAAAGTGGGGAGGGGCAGAGAAGTTGGAAAACTGTGAGGGTCTCCCTTTCAAGGTGTAGATGTGGCTTGGCTTCTGGTCACACTTGCTTCCTCCCACTTCAAAAGCAAAAATGAGGGGAACTCAGTCCTTTAGATATGCGGGTTCTATAGCCTGAATGAGTCCCTCTAAAAACCACGGGCTAAAACACAGCACCATCCCAAAGTGACTTGGGGACATGATGAAATCAAGAAGATGGAGCCCTCCTGAATGGGATTAGCATGTTCCAGATAGCTGCCTATCTCTTTTGTGGCATGGGAACTAAGAAAGAAGGCCACATTAAATCTGCCAATGCCCCGAGCTCTCCATCCTCCAGATCAGTAAGTCTGTGGTTTATAAGCCCTGAGTATGGTGGTGGTGAGCTCCCAGAATAGAGGGGGCTGTGGCAAACACTCACTTTGGAAAGATGTTTAGAGAGAACTTTCCTGTGGGTCTTTATCAGCTGATATTTCACTTTGTAGAATATTATACCGGCCCCCAGTTTAGAACTTTCCTGATATTAAGCAACTCACCGTCTTCAAGGCAAGGGGGTCAGTGCCCCAGGGTCACAGAAAGCTCCTTTGAGCAGGGCAGATGCCATGGGCTCTCCAGGTGTCTTTCTGCTGTGTCAGCAGACAGAACCAGACTGAAGGTCACCGAGAAGGGGTTGAGCACTGTTGGTCCCCATGGTCCGCACCTGCGGATCCCTTCTTTTCTAATATCGAGGCATCTTCCTATTCCTCTCGGGGTTCCTCCATGTCTGAGGAGGGTAAGGCAGGACCACTTTGGGACTGCTTTCACTTCCATTTTCTCCATTTCCAGAAATGCTTTACAGCTTGGGGGCCGTTTATTGAAGGATTTTAAGGTCTCTAATGTAACTACAGACTGTCTCTTACTCTTAGATTTTTTTTCTCCCAAAACTTTCTAGAGGATTCTGCAAACTTGGGGGAGATAATTGGACTCTAGTCTCAACTTTAAAGCTGTTCTCTGGAGGCTGTTTGATACTTTTCAAAGTTGTTAAGGCCAGCCTTGGGACTAAAAGAAAATACTTTATGTAAATATTCTGTGGTGAGTTTTAAAGAATATGTTCCTCCTCGAGAGGGAATAGAACACACCATGTATAAATCAACCTTACATAACTCAGTATTTAACACTTGGAATACTTATGTGGTGGGGCTATTTAAATGGCAATAATTTGTTTTTAATAATCTGACACAGCATCCAGCTATGTAGCCCAGGCTGGCCTGAACTCACGGTCCTCCTATTTCAACCTTCCAGATGCTGGGGTCATAAGTCAGTACCGGCACACCTGGACTATCTTTTGGCCCAGTCTGAGAATAGTGTCTACCTATCTGCAAGGCTTTTGATTTAAGGATTTGATCTGTTTTTAGATGGTGCCGGTAATGTGTGGTTTTTCTGTTCGTTTGTACTTTAGGCTTATTTGATTCTCCTTAATTCCCTTTTGTTGTATGACTCATGTTGATTGCCTCGCTTTCATTAAAAATAATTAGTACATTTCCCATTTTTGTTCCATTAGTGGCAACCTTTAAGTTTTTCAGATGTGCCTTGGATTGTTTTTCTCTGATACTATAAATCAGTATCTATCAAAGCTTCCCATGTGTATAATGGAAAATGTCTTGAATTTGTCTCTTTCCCTCATTAAATTGATTTTCTGCAGTCTCCACCCTGCTGTTCGTATGAGTTTTTAATCAATCGGTGGCGTTTTCTCTCCACTCACTCTCCCCTTATCTCGGCTGCTTCTTTCTCACACTGCTCACTTCAGCTTTGGGAGTCAATGGCCCCTTGGACGGTATTGAAAAAGCAAATCAGACACTGCCTCCAGCTGCCGTTTCTTGGAGAAAAGTCCATATGGTGAGAATGTTTTCTGTGGCCTCCAAATCTCCTGGCCTCTGACCTACAAAGGCTCCTTACGTGCCTGAGGCTCCATCTGCACATCTTTTAGCTCCATCTGAACAGGGTCACTTTTAGGGGATCCTGTGAGTCCCTCCCCTTACTTCCTGGGTGAGGGAACATGATTGGGTCCTCTGGACCCTCCCCTGTACCCACAGATCATACTGTGAGGAGCAGTGGTGTTTGTCCTACAAGACTACACCCAAATCTGCACGGGTTTTTATTGCCTTACAGGAAAACAAACAAACAAACAAACACGTAGTGTTGTTCAGTCAGCACATAGACACTAACAACAGGCTTTGATGATGAGTTTTTTTTGTTTTGTTTCTTCTTTTTTTTTTTTTTAAGCTAAGTATATTAGCAGAATCTGCAACTACAGTTCTTATAATGATTTACCAGCAACAACTGGCTATAGATAAAAGTGAGTATATGATGCAGTTGTCTTCCATTTACCCCAAACAAACTAGAGGTCCCAAATAAAGCATAGATTGATTAATGCTTGGTTATGCAGTCCTCAAGATTAATGCAGGTGTATTAGATGGCACAATATTATTTTTACTGTTTAAGAATCACAAAACCTTGCCTGATCTATTTTTTCTATAAAAATAATAGAGGGCTGTATATATATATATATCAGTGGTAGAGTGCTTGCCTAGCATGCCAAATACCCTGAGTTTAACCCCACAAAAATCTACACGAACACATAGATGCACAAGCTCAAAATAACAGCCCTATGTACATATATGTGTGTAAAAGTGTGTGTAAGAGAGGGGAGATAGACAGTAGCAGAGTGATATCCTCATCTGGGAGGAGGTGATTATTGAGAGGCAAACATTTTCACCCACTTTGATTTCCTGAATTTTCCTTTTTTTTTTTCAACGCACACACTGCTTTTACACCAAGGATGAAGGCTTCCTTTTCTGTCAGTTCAAGAGAGGCTTTCTGGAAACCAGTACAGACATCTCCTCATGCTATCTGCTGCCTTGCCAGCCCTCACCTCAAAGAAAGATCAAACTAAGAAACAGCTGGACATTCTGGGCCCATTATTAATGGGAAAATAAAAATGATATCCACCATTAAAACCCCACTAACCAGGCTGGAGAGGTGGCTCCGTACTTAAGAGCACCTGTTTCTGCAAAGGCCAGGGTTTGATTC